CAGGTTTGTTTTGTGAGGGTAAACTTTCGTTTTCTATCCTCAAAATGACTTTCGTGAGGTTAAACATTTGTTATGAAGACGTTAATAAGCTACCACGCCCATTAAAAACTGGAATTTCGTTTGGTTAATTATTCGTTCTCCCATCTTGAAGAACGAAAAGAACGAAAATTTAGCCCTACGAAACAAACCCGCTATACGGTACTTACGTTTCAACAACTGGCCCTTTATCTTTAATCCAATAACGAGATGCATCTTCATGATCAGGTACCGACCCTCTACTAAAACTAGACACATATCTATCAATCATATCCTTCTGGTTCCTGTTAGCAACGTGATGAGCAGCCGCCTCCAGTTCATCACTCATCCTCTTCATTAGTGTATGATAGTCTCCTCTTGATATCTTAATGGAGACACTAGAGCTGGTTCTAGGGGAAGGGAACTGATGGGGTCCAAGTAATGATGATACTTTATCATTTGGACTAGGAGGAGTATCTGAGAGAATGATACATGTAAGAAAGATGGAGATGAGGTGAGGGTATTGATACACTAACCATTAGTAAGAGATGATGCTAATCTTAATTCATAGGTCCCATCTTCACTCTTGAACAATCTTGTATTGTATGGGCTCAAATCCTATTAATAAAATCATAACAATGATAGCATCTGTAGCATAGTAGCAGGAGTATTTGGACTAATGCTCATAGCATACATGGTATGCTATCTCATCTCCCTTCATTTGTTCCCATTATACAGAGCTTAAATGTTTTCTGTTAGCTTGTGCAATGACCATTAAATCCAATTATCCAATTATGAATGAAGCTATGTCTGGTATATGTACTGGACAGGATAAATAGCCAAAAATGCAAGACTTAGTAGGATGCAGAGTTGCAGACACATGATATGCTTTACTAATAATATCTCAATGATATTGCAGCTTTCACAGCTACATGTCTAGTTTACACTGCACAGAGTGCATTAATTTCCCTAACCATCCAATGCAGGATGCAATTGCAATCAAGGTGTTTCTATAGATTATACATGTATATCCAGAGCTTCCTTCAAATGCCTAGAAGCTAATCAAGCTATGAACACAATGGCCTTGTACATGTAAAATAACATGAAAAATATCGTGTACGTTATACCATACACATTCAGAATTCGCATAATGTGTCACTAGACGAATAGTACAATTTCAACTTTGTATAAATAACTCAACTTTCACTCTTACTTTATTCAACATAAATTCTTTTATGATTTCAGCATCTTCTTTACCACAGTTACCCGAATAGTAAGTCGTTATACCCTATTAAATATTCATAGATTATTAATTAACACAAACCACACCCACTCACATC